TTTAGTACAAAATAGTATAGGGGCGTATTTGTGAAGAACCCTAGAAACAAAAACAGCACCAAATTTTGTCAATATGTGAGTTTAATACGCTGGCAACCACAAGATGTTCCTTCTAATCTTCTCCAATGATTCCATCAATAGAAAGTTACAAAATGTGTCCCTGATTATGCTATTTTGTTTACTTTAATTAAGTCTACCATCCAAGATTTCTTATAATAATTCACAGAAAGAAGCTTTCATGGTGAGTGGATCCCAGCTAATTCATGGACCATATTGAAAGGTTGATATGGGGGCAATGTAGTGGGAGGTGGATTGTCTGCCCTCCCATTTTCATACTCGTCTCATCCCCTGTTTGTGTGATAAGGTTAAGTCACGTCAACATTTTATATTGATTTTTTTATAAAAGTAATAAAACAAAAAGTAATAGGAATATAAAATGTTGACGTGGCTTAACCGTGACCACACAAAACAGGAGGGGATGGAAAAAGTATTGAGATGGAAGGGCAGACAATCCACCTCCAATGTAGTGTGGGCTAAAGTTATAGACAAAATTGATGGGTCCTACTTTTGGAAATAATTTTACTCACTACCTTTAGTGATGCTTATTACTTTATTTATTATCGTTAGATAAGTTTAATTTTGAGATTTGTGTTTCAAGATATGTGTAATATACATATATATATATATACACATATATATATATATATATTTAGGGAAAAAAATGCACTCATATAAATTTCAGGAAATCTCTGGCTTTTAAACTTCTAGTGATCTTGTTCTGTCATGTTCTAGTAGCTTTAGATTGTGACATTTGGGAAAGTATAGGATTAAGGAACTAAAGAACAGTTTGGAATGCATCTTTAGATAATGTCATTTTTTATGCTAAAACAAAAACCAATTAGTGGCATTTGGGCTTGTTTGAGACAGCATTCATAAGAAGTACTTTTACTCATAAACACTTATGATATAAGTATTTTTATTATAACTAGCAAATCTTTTACTAAAAATAAATTCTTCCTGAAAATCTCTAGTAGGTGCTTCCTAAAACACATGACAAATTCTCTATAATGCACTTCTACGACCCTAAAAAGCGCTTTTAAGTTTTTTAGTTCAACATAGTCATAAATGCTTTTGATTGCTAGAAAATACATTTAGGGTAATGCTAAGGAGTCCAAATTTTTAAACCAAATGATGTAGATGTTGATAATTGAATTATTACTTAAGTGTTTATTAACGTGTTTATTCTTTTTATTGGTGACACATCATTTAGTTTTCAAATTTGATTTAAAATTTGGTCTCCCTAATATTTTCCGCACTTTTAACTCCTAAACATGTATAACTGGTTCTTTAATTGTCATTAATGACTTGTATTTCAAGGATTTGGATACGGACCATTGATCAATAATCGTGTGGTGATAATTTTTTTCTTTTTTATATTTTTCACGTAAAACAAGATTATTTTACTTTTAAAAATATAAAAAGTATTTAATTTTGACCGCACGACTTTTGATTAACGGGCTGTGTGCGTTGATCCTCATCTCCAGGGAGAGGATCCGGCGAAGATCCAATTCTGTATTTCAAGCTAATCTTTCCAATTCCGTATTTCAAGCTATTCAACCAAAAGATTAAGTAAAAAATGCCATCTTTCTGAAAAAAATGAACCAAAAAAGGAGAATCTTTTAAGAAACTGTGAGATAGAAACTAGCCTGAAGGGGAGAGATGTGAGCAAAGAGGAACTGATCAGCTGACATGTACTGTTGTGTAAGCTTAGGGCAAGTATCAGACTCAGCCAAACAAGTCCTTATTTTCTGCCAAGTCGAAGAGTCAGTAACATAGTCCCTCAGCCACTTGGAAAACCCTTCAAGCCGGTACTCCCTGTAAGCCCTGCCGGGCACGGTGTAGCTGCCGTCCGGCCTCGTGACGGTGAAGGCGAAGATGAGCAGGACAAGGAGCAGGATTATGAGGGCCGCCATGCAGAAAAGGTAGAGAGCCAAAAGACCCTGTTTGTTGAAATAGGCGCCAATGAAGCCGGCGAGGCAGACGAGGAGCATGAGGGCGCCGAGGATGAATACCGGCCATCGGAACGAGCGGATGCACTCGTTGTCCGGCTTGGAGGCCAGCCAGATGCCGGAAGACATTATTGGGATGGCGCAGAGGAGGGCTATGAAGTTAAGAGTTGCGGTTATCCTGTTGCTCACTCCCATGGTGCGGGACAGGACTACTCTGGAGGAGGAAGAGAAAGGGTGACCGTGGGGGAGGGGATTGGATTGGATTGTGGGATGGGATAGTAGGTGGAAAAGGGTTTTGTGTTGGTTTCTTTACTTCTTGTTCTGTTTTTGGTGTGAATTGTGTTGGTTCGGATTGGGTTTTATATGCTTTGGGATTTGGAGGGTTTGTGTTGGGGACTTATTTTTCTGTGTGCAATGGGAGGAGTATAAGTAAGTAGGGTTGTGATCTTGGTTAAGCTTTACACCTAAAGGAGTTTTATTTCTGGCTTAGAGAAAGAGGAATTACAAAACAAAATCACTACCACAACTCGACTCAAAAAGGGGATACCAAAGTGATCGACTTACGAGAGAGACATATGAAATAGAGATGCTAAGATGATAATGTTTGAAATGAATCATGCGTCACCATATGAAAAGAAAAGAAAAATGCGTTGCAATGCATGATATGTCTGTTGGTCTCTGTTCAGGTAAGAAATATACGCACTCTGAACACATAATCCTCCTACATGAATGAGATGACTATGTTACCTCAACCTATAATGGGTTGTCTCAACCTTTTTCCTTTTAAGAATAGTGCCAAATTGAGCAGCGAGTCAAAATGAAGCATGTTGTGCAAATTCACAACTAAAAATAAATGTTTAATTAGAATTATTGCAACATAGTTGGCAAATTAGAAAATTGAATGCCCCTTCGTTGAAGTTGATCATCTGTTGGGAGCTTATTGAAAAAAAATCCTCCAAACTAGAATATAGTGGCAAAGTATAATAAAACGACACCAAATAATGTAAGCCAAACTTTTAACAGGAAATCGACGACGAACGATTCAATAGCCATCAGAAAACAAAAAAAACCTTCAAATGCAAGCTTCCCAAACTAATATGTCATTTTCCTCATCCTTTCTAGAAGACATCTTTAAAATCTCTTTGGCTAACTTTGGAGAAGTAGAAGAAAAAAAATAAATGGAACAACTCATTTTCCTATTCGAGTAATGTCTAAGACCTTAATGTGAGATAGAGAAGGAGCAAGCGCAGTAGCACCAATGACATTCACAATACGCGTATCCAACCACTTATCAATCGAAGAGAAGTATTAGAACCATTCCGAATCACCCCTAAAGCAAAATATAAATAATGGATTTAATACCATGCCATATAGAAGATAGAGTAGAAATGACCATGTAACTGAAATTGCTCTCGAAAATAAACGCTCTAGGATGACATTGGTATTTAGAAAACAAAGATCACGTAATAGGTCATCTCAATCTCCAATGTTAATTGTTTCGCTATCCAAACTTTAAACGTATCGTTTATTAGTTTTTAAACTTATGTTTCAAGTAATCAAGAAATAAAAAGAGAAACATTATTCTCAGTATAAACTCGCTTTAGGTAATTATTCATGAAAATAACTTGAAGTTTGCTTGATGATGAAATAATTAATAAATTTGATTAAATGAGTAGGACGACTTATCATGAACTTGAATACATCTTTCGCCGTGATACGTATCCATCTAAGAATTTCTAAAGTGTCCAACTTTACTCCATGCCGTTGAAATTACTTGAGAAAAGTGAACCACGATTCTCGGCTATCTGCAAAGCAAAAGCGCATTTAGCGCGATTTCAAACACGCCCCAACCGCACTCAATTTAAGACGACAGAGCTCCCGGGCACGGAAAAGAGAGAGGATCCTAGTCCGATTTTTTTTTTGTGAATTTTGAGATTTTTTAATTATATTTGTTCATCTTATCTTTTACGATCAAATTTCGTCAGATAGTGTTTATACTTAATTTAAAATAAAAAATTATAATAATTTATACCCACACAATGTACGATGAACAGATATAATTTTGAGAATTTATGTAGTCCTCACACAAAAAAACCGTCAAAGTCCTCACTCCACGGTAAATACAACATGCTCGTGACCTAGGCTCAAGCCTCCACGTTGCATATATTTGATTGGTCCTTGGAAATATCACATCCCAACCAAAGCTATTTTGAGGAGAAAAATTTTCAGCGTATTCGACACATGAGATGATACACTTCATGTCAGTGAAGAGAAATTTTATTTTCAAGTGTCCCTTCACTTGCATAATGTCATGTGACGTATCACTTCCGTGTCTGAGCACACTAAAAATCTCTCCATTTTGAGGAATAATGCATAAGTCCTCCTAAGATCACTCGACACTAAGCGGATATATTTGGCGTTCTTGCTAATAATATAATTTTATGCAAGAAATTAAACAAGTTATTTTATGATTAGTATGGAATGTTATGATGTTTGTGTATCAGTGTCATGTTAGTCATTTTAATCCATGCAGTTGTGATCAGAATTTTCATGGTACAAAAAATAAATCAATAGAGATTATTTAGTTATCTATATTATGATTAAGTAATTAGTAGTTTCAAATAATTGTTGATGTGTTTAGTATAGAAATATGAGTGAACGGTCTGAAATTTAACTATTTATTATAAAAATGATGTAGAATATGATATTAGACTCTGTAAATTCGTTAATTAGACAAGAAAGTGCAAGTTTCAAGCACTAAGGAGAGAAACTCAATACTAGAGCAGCTCTAACATGAATCGAATTGATGTGAATTTAAGTGGAAATCATACAAAAAATCTTATGTTTTTATAAGAATTGTTACACATGACGTGTCCAGGTGTCGGTATCCAAATTATTCTAGCCTCAAATTATTGTTCTAATTAGACCGTGTTTGGCAACAAGTACAAACTAAATCCTCATACAGCAATCATCTGTTTGGTAAAACGACCATTTGAGTTTCCCGCGTCTTATTAAACTTTCAAAACCCCTTTGATTCCTAAAACCCCCAAAACCCAACAGATAGTTGCAGAGCCGGAGCGGGCGAAATGGAGCAATGGGTCCCACTCTTCGACATCTTCTTGACCTCCCCGACTCCCGAATCCGAAGCTTCTGCGTGGCTGAACCAATCTTTCAGCGCCTCATCGTCATCGGCGACCCCAATCACCACCGGCTCCTTCCTCTCGTTGCTGATGAAACCTCTGGACTCGATCGTCGCCGACGATTCTCTTCCCTCGTCTTCGGCTTGGCCTCCAAGCACAGATAGGTGAAGGGTCGAAACCCAATTTTTATTTTTCGATAACTTTTGATGTGGTTTGGCGACTGATTCTGAGGTTTGGTGAACAGGGTGATGTTTATACAGACTCTGCCGAACATGGTTCAGTCGCGGATTCTTTCGTTTCTGGGTTTGGAGCGTCAGAGGTTTTGCGGTCGGGACTTGGCGAGGCTGGCGAGGACTGTGTTGGATGGAAGTCAGCAGCTTGATTTTTGGGTTCAGAGGGCTGCACGCAATCTGCTCGATGGAATGTCCGATTCAAGTTATGAGTGGATTAGTGGCTTGAGTTTGGAATTCGAGGAGGATGAATTTGAATCCTTGCCGGGTTGTCTTAAGGATTCCGGGGCTTTTGGTGAGTTGGTTCTACCTTGGCTTCCTGTATCGCCTGAGGAATTGAATTCGAGGACAGTAACTGGTAATTTTGAAAACAATGATGGGTCGTCGAGTCAAGTTGAAGAGGATGAAGATGTGGATATGAATGATGTTTTGGAGGAAATGAATATTGATGATCCAATTAGTGTTCATCTTGAGCCTGAAATTCAAAAGATGGCAGTTAGTTTGAAAGCACAGGTTGCAGATTTTCAATCAACTTCTAAAACTGTAGGCTTAGCGAATGAAATTCGCAAACTTTGCTTAGACAAAAGAGGAGATTCTTTGACGATTTTGGGTCTGATTGAACCATGGTTAGCTGATGACGAGACTGCTTCAATTCTACTTTCTCATCTAACAAGCGGAAGTGAAGAAGAGCTTGCTTGGGCAAGCCAGGTTCTGTGCTCGGTCATCCTTCCCAAATTGTTGGTACTCGAGGAACCTGCTTCTCGAGTGCTAGTGACTGCAACAGTAGATTACTGCAAACTCCATCAAAGGGCCTGTGAATATACACTCTTATTTCCACTGATTCTTCGACAGGATGGCATCAATAATCCCATATGTGATGTGATCGCGAGGATCATCAAGGAAAGTTTGCACCCGGCTCATGCTTCTTCTTTCTGTCAGAAGCTCCTGTGCGGAGAAAAAGATGAGAGGAGAGTCATCTGTCTCCCTTGCCACCGATATCTGATAACCGATAAAATGGTATGGACAGAATCATTGTTTACCCTGCTCGAAAGCATTTTGAATCATAATGTTCATTTAACACAGAGTTCAGTTGATCATATTGTTTACCAGGCTCAGCAATTGGCCGAAATATTTTCGAATTCTCTGAAATTTGGGAACTTTTTGTTATGCTTAGTCAACAAATGTTCTCCGTTCTTGAAGCCTCACAAGCTTACATTGACTGAAGTAGTCGAGCAAAACAAAACCTTTTTAGCCAGATCAATATTAGGAAAATTGGCTGGATTGTAGCTTTTGTTAATTGTAAATCTTTGTCTGTGCTTTTTGCTGTGAGCCTCTGTCAGTCTCGGCGAATGTACATTTTGAACATCCTTCAGATCTTATTTCAAACCTGTTTTTGATTAATTAGCTAAGAGAGAGCCTTTTTAATTATTGGTCTTCATTCACTGAAGTTATCTAAGCTGCTCGTTTAAGATTTTTAATTAATGGGATCATATTATCAACCAAAAAAGCTTCATTCGGCCATCTGTTCGAGCATTTGGTAGACACTTGCCAATTTTTGCCAACATATGTCTACAACTATTATTATTTATAGAGGCTTGTTGAGGATTGATGCAAGATGTTGTGAAGTAATGTTGAACATTGGCAAGGCTTGTCAACTAAGGTATTTCATCGAGTACATGGTGCGCACAATAGAGTCACACACAAGAATCGAGAAAATGAAGACATATATGGCATAAGAAAATAAAAGAAATAGGAGGAGGAGGTTGTAATTTAGTTTGCTTTCTCTATTTATAAAGACCAAATTCAACACAAATAGATATATGGGGGGTTTTTGAAGATGTTAGGGTAAGGGCTACCAATAACCCCACATTGACTCTACCAATGTTTAGAAAACATTGACACATTATAAAAAGTTAGTTAAGCTTAGAGCAATTTAAAATTTCTAGTGGTAAATTGAAATAAATCTGCAAGTTCAAGAGGCATTGCTAAAGCACATGCGAGACCATAGTGACGAAAAGTAATAATACTTAAGCACCTTGTTGCAGATTCGATCTTCCTCCCTTCTAACATTTAACAATTTAACCCATTAAACTATCATTTATAAAAAAAAAAAGGCACTGCTAAAGCTTCCCGATTTATTTATTAAGAAAATCTGTAATCATCTATACAAGGTTCTATAATTTGAATTAATTGTCAATTAATTGATTAATTATCCTCCTCATTAATCATTCTTGACATTTGCTTACCATCTAATTTTATACTCCGCAAAATATAAGAAAGTTTCCCGCTGCCGCGGACGGGCCAAAGCGCGCACGAATAACGCCATCCTGCGACCGTACTCTAACCACTTGACCGTTGGGAGCTGCATTGCTCCTCAGCTCCGCCGCCGCACCCAATTCCTTCCCCACAGCTGCCGCCTTCCGAGGGGCGCGGAATGCACCGTTTAACGATCCACTGGCAGATGCATACCTATATTGCATTTCCACGCGCGTTGGAGGTGCACTCACGCGCGTACGTCTGCGCGTAGGATTTAGTTACCTTCTCCTCTCTCAACGCACATTCGACACCTGAGAGAGATTTCCACACTGCGCACCTTTGCTTTGGAGGACAGTTTCGTACTTTTAGCATCACCTCCTCCATCTCCAAAAACTCAAATGAAACTTTTTCCCTCTCACAGCAAACCGAATACGACGGTCGCAATTGCTAACTTGCGCCGACCGCCGGGGTCACTCTACGCGCACTCAGGACCGCGGCCTCTCCAATGAGGCTACGATCGCCTACGGTTCTCGGGCTGTTTTTTCTTCTCCTGTCTTTTCGCTACTGTTCCCACCGAGTCCGCCGAGTCGACTCAGTCGAACTCGGTGGCCGTGGCCGATGCGAAGACCAATGCCGGGTCGAAGAACTGGTCTCGCCTTGGGGAAGAGGACAGCTTCGTCGACATGATTGATCGAGCTCTGGAACGGGAGTTCTCCGAGAACGAGCAGACCCAAGGTTCTTTCAGTTCCCAAGCTTTTCATTTCCTCGTTTTGGTATTTTTTTAAACGGCTCTCAAGTTTCAGTTCCTCGTTTTTGCATGCATTGTTAATACCGTCTGTTTGGTAGTATGAAAAATGTAAAATTTAATTTAATTCGGATGGGAAATTTGGAGCAATTAATGGCAGTTGATATTAATTTGGTGTAAATTGGTGTGTCTTGTTTTGCAGCAGAGGATGCCAGCGGCTGTAATAATAGCGTTGCCGAACAGCAGGTAGGCATTCACTCACATGCTCTGACATTTTCGGTTTCAAAGTTGTGTGTGGTGTTTAGATGATCGAGCTCGCGGGTAGAACTTGCCCCTAAAAACCGGCATTGCTAAAAACCGGCTTGTAATTTGATGTAATTGATCAGTACTGTACAACCAGAAGCTGATTTATGAACGTTTGAAACCGGCATTGCTAAAACCGGCTTGTGATAATCGCTTTAAAGTTAATACCTTTGACAAGCTTTAGAGTGAGCTAACGAAAAAGGAAGATGCTTTAGATTGATCGACGAAAGAAATGTGTATGCTGGATGTTATGTTTATAGTCTTATCACTCCAAAATTTCTCGTATTGAAATATTGTAAAATTGTCTTGCATAATCGTTGGCCCGAGATTGAGAGCTGTAACTGTTTGTCCATTAGGCAGTTCTGGAAACCGTTGCAAGAGTCAAGTCCAAGAAAAATGACAGCAAGGAGGAGAAGTATTACTTCTATCTTGTGATTGGAGATCAAATATGTAAACTTCAGTTTGTGGAAGTTGTAATTGGATATAGGAATACTTGAAGTGAGTTTGCTGACATCTTTGTGAGCCTTATTTTAGGTCATTTCAGTTTCATGATGTTTTCCATAATGAGAATGGAGAAGAAGATATGCCTACATTAATAGATCGAAAGGTATTTCTTTATCCGTCGTTGGAAAATTTTGTTTAGTTCACGTTGCATTTATCTATTGTAACGTAGATAGGTAACAGATATAGATTTTAGAATGGATAAAAGTGCATTATTGTAATGTTCTTAACAATTGGTGATGATGCTCGCATACTGCTGCATTGGAAAATATATACATTGTCTTGCGGTTGAAGTTGATACTTTTTGGTATGCTCAAATTTCTTTTATCAGGACAATATCTTTATTATGTCCAATCGCAAGTCAAAATATCCTGTGCTGCAATTGGACTTGAGATTAGCTAACTTTTTTATTATTATTACCCTTTCATTTATGAGTGACTGAAAATTTTGGCTGACATAGCCTCTTCATATGTTCAGATTGATTTCAGACCTGGTAGTTGTCATTGTTTCTGCAACTTGTGGTGGAATTGCCTTTGCCTGTGCTGGACAACCAGTCTGTCCTCTATCGTAGCTATTTGCATTCTTTTATAATAAGTTTCTATTTGAAGACTTGTTTTTCTTTAAGATCCTCGTATTCTCGAAAAAGTGACCACTCACCATCTTATGTACAGGTTATTACTGGATATTTGCTAGCAGGATCTGTCATTGGACCTGGAGGCTTGAGTTTTGTCAGTGAAATGGTGCAAGTATGTTGTCATATGATATTTAAAGTATCTTCTATGCATTACTTCTATTTCTTTATTAAAATACATGCATGTAGGTTGAGACAGTGGCTCAATTTGGGGTGATCTTTCTTCTTTTTGCGTTGGGTTTGGAGTTCTCAGCTGTTAAGGTAGGCATGTAAATTGAATGTTGCAGTATCCCTCCGGATTTTGTTGGTCTATTAATTTAGGCCATGATAATACTCTCTTCTTTTCAAGTTTGCAGCTTCAGGTTGTTCGAACAGTGGCTGTTCTGGGAGGTCTACTGCAAATTTTCCTATTAATGTGCTTGTGTGGAATAACAGCCTCGGTATGTTTACATTTTACTCAACTTTTTTTTCTACTTATTTAATGTGAAAAAAGTATCTAGACTGTGTTATCCAATGACAGCATATTATGATTGTTCCTACTTTCTTTCTTTCCACATAAAGCTGTGTCTTCAACGGATTTCTAATGGGAAAGCTGCATGCTATTTCCAGTTATGCGGTGGGAGGCCTTCAGAAGGGGTCTCTGTTGGTGCATTTCCTTCTATGTCTTCGACAGCAGTGGTGACTCTCTTTTCCCTGATATCTCTATATTCTCTCATCCCCTACTTACGTTTTTATTTGGGGAAAATATATGGATTCATGACCTTTTTAATTTGGTAATTCTTGCAAATGTGTTGTGGTTGTCTTCAGCTCATGTTATTCTGAAATTAGTACTTCACAATTGCATACACAGTATGCATAGAATTTATTTGTTCTCATTCTATAGGAATCTTTATATGTAATTTTTATGGAATAGTTGATAGCCTAAGGGGTGATACTGGAAAACAAGCTTGCCTACCTCTCCTTTAGTCCTATCTCATTTGTTTTTCTGTATACTTGAATCTTGGTCTTCCTGTACCAACCTCTTAGTTTTTGTATTATTTCATCCCTTTTTTTTGGTCTGCAGGTTTTGAAATTCTTGATGGAAAGAAATAGTATCAGTACCCTTCATGGTCAAGTTGTGGTCGGCTCTCTTGTACTGCAGGTATGTGATATAATTTCTCACTTTGCAGAATCTATCACTGCTAGGTTTTGCTACTTAGCAATTAGTATTTAAACAATTAAGTGAAATTCAGGCTTATGATTTCACCTTGTGTGACCTACTAGGACTGTGCTGTTGGTTTGCTATTTGCTCTGCTTCCAGTTCTGGGTGGGGCTTCCGGAATTCTTCAAGGAGTAATATCCATGACTAAATCGTAAGCAACTGTTATGCAAAGTCATCCTATCATATGAGTGCATGCAAATGTTTAGTTTATGGCTTTCACCTAAAGGATACGCAACTGGACACATGTTATCAGCACCACAGAAGGGGGAAAAGGAGAGTGGATGCAACCAGTCTTAAAAGGCTGGTTGCTGGCCTGTTATAGCATTTTATTTACTTATCAAATAAAATAGTCATAAGTGATTGTTAAACTAATTAATACAAGTGTGGTTGGGTTGGTTGTGAGCAAGGAATTTATACACACTTCTGTAGTTCCCATTACTCAGCCGTGGAAAGTTAGAAACAGCATAGTTAATCTCTTGTTCACAGGAAAATGTGAACTGGATTTTACTTTCGAGTTTCTTTTACTGCCTCGTGTCTCTTTTTACATACCAGTTCATTATCACAGGCTGGTGATTTTGATTATGTTTTTGGCCACCTTGTCCATATTAGCACGTACTTGTGTACCATTGTTCCTGAAGCTTATGATAAGCCTATCTTCTCAGGTATTGATATATCTTCAATTGAATGCACTCTGATGCTTTAATTTTAGAGAGTGTTTTTGCTGAACAATTTCTGTTTGTCTCATTTCCTATCTTTTACATCTTCCGTTTTATAGGACAGACTCATTCAAGTAAATATACATAAGTAAGAGAACGTAAGGGGATTGG